CATGTACCGAAACACAAGCCGGTATCGTTAATTTTGTAGAAAATGGCAACGAAAGTTCGTTTTTACAATATAAAAAACTACTATTTTCAACAAAAGAGTTACAGACGTTTGCAGATGAAGAACCAATCTATACATGGTAGGTTTTACTTATATTTGATTTGGTTTAGTTTTGTCACAAAATCTACCGAAAAACACCCTAATTTTGGTTGATTTGCAAAGGCGTCCTTAAGGCGCTACCTCCAGCGAACGACCTTGAGCATTTGGTCTGTCGACGCTCGCTACAATATATCGCGTAAGAAATCGCCAAAAGTCGCCACCTACTGCTACGAACGTACGAGTAGTATTATTTTTTCAATGTCAATGAACTCTTCTATGGAAATAGACACGGCGTACAATGATAAATGTATTTTAATTTTCTTTATTCGGTATATTAGTTGCATTATATTAGAATTATGTATTCTAATATATTATCTAATTAATAAAAATGACTATTTTGATTATTTTTAACTATATACTATACTGCTAATATTGAATTAGCTTTTTATAGTGTAAATTATAATATTTGTCGAAATATTAATTATGGATTCGAACTTTACATGCTAATGGTGCTTCATTTTTATTATTTTCATTTACTTACATATTGAAAATATACTTGAATAGTAGTTATTATTATTTTATTTAGCTACTGAATTTTAGGATATGTTTTACCTTGAGGTCAAATATAATTTTGAGGAGCAATAGTTATTACCTACTAATCTTTTATCTGCTATTCCTTATTTAGGAACAATATTAGTAAATTGAGTTTGAGGGAGATTTACTGTTTATAATGCTACATTTATTATTTTAATATTTACCTACTGGGTAGGTAATTATTAAAATAATAAATATATCATTAGTAACTAAATAGATATTTTTTTTTAAATTTTTAAAATTAAAATTTTCGTATTTTTAAAAATTACTAAAAAAAAAGGGTTTGAAGTAATAGATTTTCTCACAAAAAGAAGGGAACTTGAAAAAAAAAAGGAAAAAAAAGCGGGACCAAAGCCAAGACGCGAACCACGGAACTCCGATATCACGCCGACCGACATACCACCTGAGCTATAACGACCGTTAATGAGTAGTCGAAATTTACCTTCTTATATTGTAGCAGTTTTTTATTGCCTGAAAACATGGACAAAAGGACATTTTCTAAAAATAAATCCAAGCGTTCGTCGCTAAAATCGTTGGAGCCGTATAATTTTCTCATCTGGTTCGGTTATATAAATATTTAAATATATAAAAATTATAAATTAAAATGAAAAGATAAATATACGTAAATATCAATAAAATAAAATAAATACAAAATAATATTATATTATTATTGTTATTATTATTGTTATTATTATTAATATAAGTTGTGGTTCGGTGAAGCTGCAACCTAATGGACCATGATCTGAAATTTTTATGAAAAGAAGTGGCTGACGTCAATTATTATTATTCTTATTATTTTTTCATTACTGCCTTTTTCAACCTCACAAGATATTTGTAACGGCAAAAAAAGAAAACTACGTATAAGTAAGTAAATCAGTAATATAGTGTTATGTATGATTCAGACTAAATAAAGGTTCCTAAAAATAAACGTAGATAAAGAAATTGCATAAAAAATTACTCAAATAAAAATGCAATAAACTTGGTAATTTTATAGGTACTTAGTAAAATATTAAAATAATAAGTTTTTTAGGATATTTATGTAAAATATAAAGGTTATATTATGTTCTAACTACGTTCACGCTTGCGCATATAAAACCGCGGAATTTCACTAGTTTTATTATCAAAATAATAATTGACAACCCTACCCTAAGTTTGCCTTGATTTTACCAACTCAAACTCGTTTTAGGAGATCAAAACATAGAGAGAAAGATAGGAGACTATTTTTTATTTAATATGGTTGGATCTTTATTTATTTGTATATTTTTTGTATTTATTTTATTTTATTGATATTTATGTATATTTATCTTTTCAGTTTAATTTATATTTATAAAAACCAACCAGATGAGAAAACTATACAGATACCCCAACAATAATAATATAATAATAATAATATTCCACAAATATCACACAACGCCATCTAGTCCCAAGCTAAGCAGAGCTTGTGTTAAGGGTACTAGACAACTGATAAACATACTTATATATTTCTAAATACATAAATATTATAGATAAATTACACCTAGACACAGAACAAATGATCGTGCTCATCACACAAACATTTGTCCTGGGTGGGAATCGAACCCACGACCTGCAGCATAGCAGTCAGGGTCACTAACCACTAGACCAACAGGCCTGACGATAAATAAAATAAAGTCTCTAGCTCGAGAGGAGAGGAGCCGTGGTAGCTCAGATGGTTAGCGCTTGCTAAAATTTTCACAGTGTGCGAGCAAACTGGGTTCGATTCCCGCCGGCACCAATATTGTAATTGCAATTTTAAGTGTTGATTTACCACGCGCTCAGTGGTGAAGGAAAACATTGTGAGGAAACCTGCATGTCTGAGAAATAAGAAAAATAATATTTCGAAGACATGCAAAGTTCGCCAACACGCAGTGGAGCAGCGCGGTGGATAATTCCTTTCCTAGGACCCTTTCAGAAAATAGAATAGAAATAAAAAAATAATAAATCCAAACTTCATTTAAAACCAAACATATAAATTGTAAAATAGCTGCAGGTATCTATAACCAAGTAAAAGATATTCCTTTACTCCAACTTGTCCATGTTTCCCAAAACAATTTTTAATTAAGCTTTATATTATAATGCGGATTTTTTATATTTAAAATTTTAATAATAAAGCATTTCGTACGTCTCAGCCGAGGCGCAAATATTTTTCGGCCGCAAATTTATAAGACCGATTTGTTATTCAAACATAAACATGGTTTTTTAATTAAATCTACCAATCATAAAACGACACGCATTTTTATTGAACACTTCCTATTCAATTCACAAAATACCCGTTATATTTGTTTATATAAAAAAGTATATTTAAGTACAATCATAAAACTAAATGGAAACACAAAGTAGGAAAATGCATTGAGTTATAAAACACATAAATCAATGGGAAAATGTAAAAATACTGGAGGCAGCAGCCCTATCGCATGTTTATGTACCGCACGGCTGTAATATTTATTTCTAAGATACGGCCGAGTTACAATATACCGTGACGTAAGCGCATCGGTTGGTAGGTACTCAAATAATATTATGTTTGCGGCGAAATACGGAACGCGGCGACCAGCGACGCGGCCACCTCCTACTAACGCATACCGCGCAATGCCGCCCGCACTCTGCGCACGCCCCTTTATCATAGAAGTCACAAAATTTTTGGAATTATTTCAATTAAAAGAGAAAAAACGAACTTAAAAATTTAAATAAAACGTGGAGAATATAGATTTTTTAATTATCTATCCATTAGTGTTATCCTCAAATGATTAGAGCGTTGCGTTTAGCAACAGATGCATGTAATCAAGAATTTTAGTCATTTTTTAAAAGTTGATTTTAAATGTATTTATAGCATATAAAAATAAATTAGAACTTGTAATGTGATGATAAGATATCGAACATTAATAATGTACTTTTAGATGTAGTTTATTTTTCATAACTAATGAGATAATAGAGTCTGAAAAACGCACTTTCGCAACATTTTGGTCAGGGATTCACCTTAATAGTGATGAGCGCTTCAAATGGTACACGGATTTGGAAAGGGAATCAACGAAACAACCCATGCGTGTTTCAAGGCAATACTGCCTCCTATTGAACACGAAAACGTAAATACGCCTTTTTTTCGAACAGACCAGTTCAAAAATCGTGTTCAATTCAATTGCACACTATTTTGTAAAACTTCTTTTAACGTTGCTTGATTGCAAAAACGTGCTCAATTAACGCGAGTTGAGCACGGGTTGGTTGTATTCCGTAGTAATACAAAAGCGTGTGGATTTCGCGAGACCGGTGTCTCCAGTGGGACACGGAGAGGCAAATACGCCCGACAAAAACGTTTAGATGGCGGCGAAACGTGGAACTACATATTTTCTACCTAGGAAATCTGTCAATGCTACTTTTTTTGGGTTCAGCTCAGAAAGTCACTAACAACGCTCTCATTTACTCTATAAATTTTTTTTCGGGTTGTATTTTCCTAAATAGTAAATAGATTGTATAGCATAAGCAAATATATCGGCCTTTCTTCACTAGGGCCCCCGTGATGATAGGGGTGCCCTGGGCACGGGCCCCGTGTGCCCTAATGGTAAGGACGGTACTGATTGCCGGCGTTAAACCTGTTGAGATCTCAACTCTTATCGGCGCAGTTGACAACCGCGAACATCGTTTGTACGTCGTGGTTACCTGACCTAGGAAGAATGAATCGTTCTAGTTTAAATTAAGATGATAGCTTAAAGTATATTAATGATTTATTTATTAATTTATTTTATACCTATAAGTGGTGATACCTCCATACAAGCCAAAATTTGCAGCTAATAAATAATTCTGCTTGACCACAGGTTTCCCACCTCGTTTTTTTGATGTTTTTGATGGAGTATGATAGTCTGCCTCTGCGATGTTATAGCTAATTGTAAATATTTAACGTCGGTGTTCTTCTTCATAGCTGAAGTAAGGGCTTTTAGGAGTACACGGAATACCTTAAAACTGTTTTTTTTTATTGTCAAAAAGTCTAATTAGAAAAAGTTTATTTATGGAATTAAGTTCATTTACATTTGCGATTTACATATGATAAAACCCTATCAGCAATGTTCTTTGGATATTTGTAATGAAAAATAAACCTCACTTTATTTAACAGTTTAATATTACCACGTCACATTTTACATTTTGTATTAAACATGTGTTTGAATTTACAATCCGTTTGCATTATTTGCACACAAAAAAGATATCTATCTACATCTTTAATTATGTTTATATAAGTTAATTACAATCGCCTCCTATTCAACTATAACGTATATAAATATTTCCTGTATGGTGAGAAGATTGTGCTAATGTATATGCGATAAAATCCAGTCGACAAAAGCGCCTACACGTGTATACACTCCGGGCCAGTTGGCTGTACCACAAGGCGTTGGACCGTAGGAAACTACACCGACTACCAGCCAGTTCTGAGCTGTAGGCATTTGACCCATCAGAGGTCCGCCGGAATCTCCGCGGCAAGAGTCTTCGCCCTTAACGCCTCCGGCGCACATCTGCTTCTCAGTTATAATCCGATTAGCCTTACTGTATACATTTGAGCATGTGTTTTTATCGACTACAGGCACACGTACTTTTAATTTTATTTCAGACATTGATCCTGAAATAAGAAAGATACTATTATTACTGATATATTTTAAAACCCAATTCGAGAGAAAGTTGTATGTGTTTAGATTATCACAGCCTTTAATTATACCTAAACTAGCCTCCATATATCTGAACTAGCTAGCAAACTTAGTTTCATGGCTTATGCCGTAAAAAGATTAGAGGCTTTACATGTGTTGAAACAGCAAGATTAGTTTATCCCAGTTATCTTCATAGCACTTTCTATTCATTTACTATCATAGTCCGATGGTACAGCTAACAGATACGAAAGGAGAGAGTTCGGGCGCAGGACCAAAGGTTTTACGTGCTTTCTGTGATATGGGGCTGAGATACCGTTAACTTCCTGACTCCGGGATTGAGAAATTCTTGACAGAAAAACCCAGTAACTAATTTTGGATCGGCCCGGAATCCGAAACCGGAACCTCATGGTTAGCAACCGCGTTTACGATCACTAGACTAGCGAGGCAGTCATCACTGTCAGGTATATTATATGAGATGGTTATCATAATATCAAAAGTGTAGTGGCGGTGAAAGAATATCCACTACCACCATATCGTCCCGTAAGTGTCTAAAGAGGCGACAGAGGCACAGAATAAATAATAGTACTGGGTAACGGAGGGCAACAAACCGTTAGATGGCCAGCGGCGGCATCCTAATACCAACTAAAACATAAAAAAACTGGTTGTTCACTCGTCTGCCAAGATTTGCAACTATGGCATATATTATCACGTCCTATGAGGCAATCCTTTTCATTACCATAGAACACATACATAACCCTGCGGCAGATTGTACAGAAGACCGAAGAGTGCAATCTGCCACTTTGCCTTGCGTATGTGAACCATGAAAAAGCCTTTGATTCCGTTAAAATTTGGGCGGTGCTACAGTCTCTTCAGCGGTGTCAAGTTGACCGTCGGTATATCGAAGTGCTGAAGTGTTTGTACAGTAGGGTTACGATGGATATCCGAGTACATAACCAGAGTACGATACCTATCCAACTGCAGAGAGGTGTGAGACAAGGTGACGTGTATCCCCGAAACTCTTCACCGCTGCATTGGAAGACGTATTCAAGTTACTGAACTAGAAAGGATACGGTATTAACATCAATGGCGAGTACATCACTCATCTTCGATTTGCCGAAGATATAGTCCTTATGGCAGAACTGCTGGAGGACCTAAGCACTATGCTAAATGACCTCAATAGTGTCTCCCAACGGATAGGTTTTAAGATAAATATTGTTAAAACAAAGATCATGTTTAATATCCATGTCACACCTATGCCGGTAGTTGTTGGGAGCACTAAGCTCGCAGTTGTTGACGAGTACGTTTACCTGGGATAAATAGCTAGAGGTCAATCGACGGATCAACTCAGCGTTCGGGAAATTATGACACCTTCTCGTCAGATATACCTCAAAGCTTGATCACTAGATTGTACAACCAGTGCGTGTTTCCAGTGATGACTTATGGATTTAAGACGTGGTCCTTCACTGTTGGCCTTATGAGGACGCTTAAGGTCGCTCAGCGAGCTATGGAGAGGGCTATACTCGGGGTTTCTCTGCGTGATAAACTTAGAAATGAGGATATCCACAGTAGAACCAGAGTGACCGACATAGCTCAACGGATAAGTAAGCCGAAGTGGCAATGGGCCGGTCATATAGCTCGAAGAACCGACAACCGATGGGGAAAAAAGTTTCTCGAGTGGCAGCCTCATACCGGCAGGCGAAGTGTAGGGCCTCCCTCCACTGGATGGAGTGCCGACCTGGTAAGACATGCAGGAAGTCGATGGATGCAGGTATCTCAGGACTATACTTTGTGGCATTCCTTGGGGGAGGAATATGTTAAGTAGTGGACTTGTGAAGGGCTGTAATGATGATGATAATAATGAGGCAATGCATTAGGAAGGTCTATGTTCAGTAGTGGACTTTATAGGTTATAAAGAATAATGAATGGTTATCATAACACCACAGTTCAGTGATCGTCACGCCTCACATACGGGCCTGAGTGATTGCACTTGCAGGTTTATCTATTTTAGACAGTGCTCTTCTGACTGGACTTATTAAAACTAGTCTGAGGCACTTAGGAAAATAATTTTAATTCCCGTTGGAGATCATATAATTCGAATTGCGTCAACTTTCCTTCCTTAGCAGTTGAGCGAAATGTGATCAGATTCAACGTACCTAACCATCCTAATCATCCTACATTAAAAACAACTCACTTGTTTCGGTTTTACCCCATCCAGCCACTTCCATGTCATATCCAGAAAATAAGTTATTCCGTTGATCTTGTGTTAACGGGAGGCAAATTGGTTTGATGAAATCTGAAAAAAAAAAAACATAAGCTGGAGCATTTTTAATGAATGTGTCACGGGTTTTTATAATTTCAAGTCTATATGATATAGGTATAAAAAGTGCATTTACAATTTTAATCTATACATATATATGGTGTGTTGGGGTAAGATCGGTGATGGGGAAAGACCGTAAAATTCAAATTTCCGTTAAATTATGCTGTTGCCAGTCGCTCCGGGAAGTAGGGCGTGTGCTACGCGGCATTTTATAAAACAACTATTAATATAGCCGGTCTTTCCCTATCACTTTTATCCGCGATTTTTAGCGACAAATCCCTGTTATGAACTTTGTTCTCTAAGCAGTAGAAGTGGCTTTAAATTTACCTTCGGTCGGCTTGATGGCCAATTCGTCATCATGCATGTAAAAAATTATATCTGTTCTTCGCACACGTTTTAAGAAAAACCATTGAGTTTACAAAAGTTAAGCTTCTCATAGCTAAACTAAGTTTAAAAATTAACAATTAGCGCTATGTTTCAGAAACGTGACGTAGGTATATGGATGTCGAGAAAATAGAGTTTTTGCCAGACTACTTTAACTAGTCGAAAATTCGTGCGGTATTATAATTAATTTATTTTTATCTGCTTCGTTGGTCTAATTGTCGTCAACGCGAACCCATGAGGTCGTGGGTTCGAATCCCGGGTCGGACCAAAAAAAAAAACAGTTATTGAGTATTTCTGTCACGAAATTCTCATACGGATTCTCCGTTGTTCTCTTATGGAGCAATAAATATCTTTACTAACATTACAAAATCTCTTCCTTCTCATTATGTGACTTCTATTTAACGGGACTGTGTCTCTATTTTAATTACCATTTTACACTTTTAAACTTTTATGATACCATCAGGAAAAACGCATTACACATACAATTCAAACGACAAAGAACATTTATTTGAAAGTATTTATGTGGTATAGCCATGTTCCAACAATATTAGTAAGGTACGTGAGAGTAAACGCGAATGGAGAGGAATGGAGTGTTGTGATCCATAGTCAGGAAGTTGGCGGTGTTTCATCCCTGTACATCGGAAAGCACGTAAAAGCCGTTTGTCCTGCGCTGATCCGGCTGTCCTGATCTCTCTCAATTCATGTTAGAGCTTGCGGATACATTCGGGCACTATAATCCTGTTCTGCGCAGATACCAAGTCTACGTCGAAACAGGCTGGTAACACCTGCAACTCCATAAGTGGTAGAGCCATACTACAGCTATATTAGTAGTATAATTGTAGCACAAATGAGTCGGCTCGACCGGGGAAGGACCACGCTCTCACAGAATACCAGCGTAAATTAGCAGCTTAACTCTGCTATCTTTCGTATGGTGAGTGTAGAGAACCAGAGACCCCTTTTACTGGAAACGAGGCATTCAGTTTTTGTCCTCACGGGTGACAACGCATCTGCATTTTCATTCGTGGTTGTGGATAGATTTAGATGTTTATGGGCTACAGCAACTACTTACCATCAGATGGACTCTGTGCTCGTTTGTCACCCTTATTCTATGAACGAAAATCCTCTGCTGTTGCGGTGTTTCATAGGCGGCAGTAGTCATTTACCATGTGGCCGCATACTTGTTTGCCCACTCTTTTCTAAAACTTTAACTGCTGGAACTATTTTTATGGACTTGTTTTCTTTTTACATAGGTATTTTTTATATTTTTATTTAAAACTAAACATGAAAAATTTACTGTATTCACATCGCTTGGCAGGATTGGTTTTGGTCCCGTAAATTATGTACCATGTTTGTGGGCTTTTAAACTTTGTGTTTTTAACTTGAAAATTATGAAAAAGTATGAACTGACAGGACAAAATGATACAGTCATGGTTCATAGAACAAATAAATTAATGGTCAGTGATATAAACTCTAAACCTAGAAGGTAGACGCGCTGAACACTGCACCTAGCGTTTTCTACTGATTAGTTGTGATGGCGTTTTCGAATAAATGCTACGTCATTAAGTACAAATAAAAATTACCGCTATATGGAACGTCGCGTGCTAGTCTCAACAGCGCTATGTCATTCTGTTGATGCGAGTCAAACTTTGAATACCCTTCGTGAGGTATTATGTCTTCAATTCTGACGTCCAGTGGAGTGGGGCTGCAATCGCCTTGAACACAGTCTTGCTTACTCGTGACATTATACTCGCCAAGACGTACTTGACTTCTGGAAGTGGAAAATTAAAAAGATATAACCGAAAGTAAAAAAAAAAAAACGTTTGTGCCGTTCACAGTTCAGTGAAACTTTCAAAATAGGAGGCCGCGATTATAATAAACACTGTGTATTGTAATCTCACTTTCGCAGGTTAAATCCCATGGCTGTATATATGTTTGTCTCTTTTTAGTGTCGCTTTTTCGTTTGATCGACAAATTAATCATTTATCATCTAAAGAAGTTTTCTCGTAAGAATTTTTTTTCATATTTTTTACTTATTTTACATTGAGTTGTAAAATATTGTACACATATTATTTAATGTTAAAATAAAAGAAGCTATCTCTAACCTAATCTACGCAAAGTTAAAAAAAAATATTTTTCTTTTATTTACTTTTGAGGTGTTTTCGCACCTATGACTCTGCTTTCCGTTGCAGCAAATATTAATTTACCTCAGGTAGATTATGCAGTCATCATACGGACGTCATCTGTCATACAAAGCCTCAATAACCTTTAATTGGAGAAATTCACACCGACTCATTTTCTAATTCGCAACTACGTGCTAATTGAAGTCTTCTTCTAACTTCGTAATATGTAGGTAGAAAATTTGTGGTGTCAAATTGACTTGGAATGAACCTAGTGTACGATATTTATCATAGCCAGTACGTCACACATCTTCGATAATAGCAGTCATAAATAGCAGAAACGCCGAAAAACCTGAAGAGTCGTGGTAGAACAGGGGATAAGCGCGCGCCATAATTTGTACCTATGTGAGCACGGTATACGTGAAATCCACCAGCAAACATTGGGCCTGTGCGGCGGACATTTCCTCGTCCTTAGACCTTCTTAGAAATGATAGGAGATCCACAAGTGCGAAGGTACCATGCACCACGCTTGTGACAACAAAGCATTACCTAGCAGTTTTTGATTGAAATATTCTTCATGCTACAGTGCCGAAAATATAAAATAGTAAATTCAACAGGGTTTACAAAGATGTTTTGACGTTTATCATCTCGCTTAACAGATTTGGTTTTTAACAGTAAAATAACTACTCAGTTCCGTTCGTGAATATCTGGCATAAGATATTACTTACTCGACGTAGGTATTACGACAGAGAATTCAACGTGAATACGACGTGGCGCATCATTACGCGGACGCGAAGTGGTGCGATTCGACTACACAGCCTTACCCAAGTCCACTGCTCAATATGAGCCTGCCCCAAGGAATGCCACAAAGCACGATCCTGAGCCACCTGCAGCTATCAACTTCCTGCACATCTAATCAAGTCGTCACCCCATCTAGTGGGAGGCCGCTCTACAGTTCGCTTACCGGTACGATGTTGCCATTCGAGAACCTTTCTTTTCCTTCCACTGTCGGTACTTCGAGCTATATGGCCTGCCCACTGCCACTTCAGCTTACTAATCCGTGAGGCTATGTCAGTTACTCTAATTCTACTGCGGATATCCTCGTTTTTAAGTATATCACGCATAGAAACAATTAACATGCTCTCTTTTCACAGCTCGCTGAGAGACCTTGAGCTTCCTCATACGGCCAGCAGTGAAGGACCACGTCTGTAATTCATAAGTCATCAATGGCAACACGCACTGGTTTTGTAATCTTATTGTAATGTTTGAAGGTATTTAACGAGAAGATGTGACTTCCCGAACCGTGATTGTGATCTCCCGTAAGCTACCCAGCAGATTTAAATCCGTCGATTGACCTCTCTGTCAAAGTTGGTTTTACCTAGTCGTACTATTTGTACTTGGGTAAAGATACTCGTCGACAACGTCGATTGTGGTGCTCCCGACAACTACCGTCATAGGTGTTACATGGACGTCACACATGGTCTTTGTTCTGTCCATCAAGTATCTTACATGATATTTAAGTTTAGTGGCGGTATAAGAATATCCACTGTCCCATATCATCCGGTGGGTGTAGTAAAAGACGATAGTGGGAAACAAATTAGTAGATTGGCAGCGGCGACTTCCCAATAATAATAAAAATATAAAAAATTGCGGTGCCAACACGCTTGCCAAGCGTGGCAACTATGACATATATCACCCCCTACGAAGCGATCTATGGGGAAGAGAAATGTTTTGACTTTGATAGGCTATAAGAATACAACTCTTATCCCACAATGCATGCTTCGCGTTCCTATTGAGTTCTCTTACATAGAATATGGCTTTATTGATGTAGAAAGGGAAATCATGTTTTTTTTTAAGGTGGACAATGTAACTTACAATTTCCATGTGTCTGGCAAATCAGCTCCTTTAACGCAGTGAGCAGCTGTTAGGATGTATCTTGGAGATATTAAAACTCCAGCACAGTAGAAACCCCAACCCCTTGCTGTAATTTTTGTATTAGTTATTAAAACTTTAAAAGGCATGAAGTTCTATACGTGGCAGAGCCACGCTGCAACTATATGATTATCGTCGTAGCACAAATGGGTCGGCTCAACTGGGGAAGCAACACGCTTTCACAGACAACTTCGTAGAATTAGTATGGAAAACCGGAGACAATTTTTATTGGAAACGAGGCATACCATTTTAGACCTCAGTGGTGACAACTCATCTAAATTTGTTTCTTATTTTAGGATAAATGTAGATTGTCTATGGGCCACAGCATCCACTTACCATCAGGTGGACTGTGTGCTCGTTTATGACCCTTATTCCATTACAAAGTGAAATGACTCAACAAAGTTAAAATAAAATACACTAGTAATTTCTCTTAATCTTTTTGTTGAGGCATACAACATTCACAATAAACTGCATATGGAAATATGCTAACACCCGTATCTGCAATTTTAACATTACTTACATTGATAAGCCAAACGCTGCTTCATTAATGCATGTGACTGTAATATTGCTTTTCTGTAAGCTTCATCATTATAGCCCTTCACAAGTTCTCTGCAGAACATAGGCTTACTTATTTATAAATCATACTCGTAAAGTAGGAACTTCCTCAAATTACTAATACTACCCAGTTAATACCGCCGCTACTAGATATCCAGCAAACAAATTTAAGGATTATAAAAAATATAACAAAATATACAGACTTAGGAACAACCCTACTAATAATATTGTGAAAAAAAAACCGTCCAGTATTTGACAAGGACGCTTGAATATGGAATGATGATTTCGTTTTTTACGCAATAATCAGTCCTAGTGGCAATTCGTTCTAGATTGTCTAGCTCGGTCGTTCGGGCACATAAAGACAACATTAGGCCGTTAATATCCTATGCTTTAAATTTCTTGCAGATCTGATATACTTTTTAGAATTGTACGCGGATGAGCGGGTGGAAGACACCTTGCAATGACGTTAGTACACCTGCGTTTAACGTGTCACATCAAAGAGAAATTTAATAAATAAATAAAATAAAAATAAAAATGTTTTATTTTTTAAGACATCGTAGGCCCATAGCATGTTAGTTATACAAATAAATCTTAAGAACTAATGTTAGTACACGAAACAATTAAATAAAACACAATAGAAATAAAACAAAATAAAAATTCACAAAATGCATACAAATTGATAAATTTATCAAGCTCAATTTAGTACATGTAGCTTGACAAACCTACTTAGTGTCGGGCCATCGAACCTCCCCGCATTAGACCCTCAGGATACTATTCGAGCTCCCCCCTCACTCTGCGCATCAATGACTCCACTTTTTTACGCATGATCGCGAAGTAGTCATACGTATGCGCATCGGCGAACATGCCTGATGCACTACAGTGAGGTGGAAGCCCCAACAATAACCTGAAGGCATTGTAATATTGAATACGGGTATTGCTTGCCTTTTGGGTATGATTGATCCAAAGGCTGCCGGTATAAAATGATTGGCAGTAAGCCTTGAACAGTGTAATTTTAACTGGTACAGAGCAAGCAGCAAACCTGCGAGCCACCATATTACCTCTAACAGCTAGCGCCCTGCGTTCCCTTTCGATATCTAGATCATCCTTTATTTTATCCTTTAATCCTTGGTGTAGTCCAGGATAAGTAACAAGAGCCGTCACCTAAATCATAACTATCATCTATTGATGTCATTTTTTTATGAAATAACGAACGTATCGTCAACCTGACGGTAACTGACCAATGCAGTCCATGAAAACTTGCCCACTTAAAACAAAGAAGGCTATAGGTGTGTTGTCAACTCTGTCGACTAAGATGGAGTGCCACATAGCGTGCAATTTTAGCGACTCTCTATACTCTTCAGGTCGGAACTGCTAGTTTGCTGTAAAAAAAGGATGATACCCAGGGAGACTTCTAGTCAGAAAAGGCGTCTTACGATCTAGGTAACACCTGACATGCCTGATATCTAAGAATTATTTGATGCTTACGTTTATCATATCGAAGTAGAGCGAGCCATGGATGCTCGTCAAGTTCTGTCGAGGAGCCTCCCACAATCCTATCGTTGTTTTGAATACCACACTCACTGGTATCTGGCAATAATTTTGATGAAGAGTCGACAGGCTGCGGCCTAACTTGTGGGTTATTTGGCGGGCAGCAAACCTGAATAACAGAAATAAGGAAAATTGAGTTTTAACTTAAAATTAACATAAATACTTAATGTGCGTATAATTTTTAAACATGAAGTCATATTCTAAACAAAATAACTTTTTAATTTTGAAGTTTGTGAAATGCACGAAATGTATGAAGTGCATATTGTCAGCCGTCCGGCTGATACTTGGTTTTACGCACCTAATAAGAAGTATAAGCTTATAAAGGGAATTTCATTTATTTATTTAGCTTTATTTTATTCCTTACATGCATCATAAACTGGAATAAATACCATTAATTAGAACTTAACTTATTTTAAAGTTAAAGGAGTTATAATCGATTCGTCTATGTTTTAAAACTGGGTTTTGATTTTAAAGTTAAGCAAAACATGTACTTGCTTTTCTATCAGACATTCGATGTATATAAAAACACCTTATAATTTATTTGGTAATTTAATTATTTTTTGAGAAAAACAAAAACAAGCAATAAATATAATTAACACTGACTTAATAATAGGTACTAATTATAACTTAGAACATAAATGAAAAACTCATGACGAGCAAAGTGGCTCAGGATCATGCTTTGCAACAGTCTGTGGAGGAGGATGCTCAGTAGTGGACTTGTGAAGGGCTGGAATGATGATGATGATTCAAAAACTTGCACGATTAAATTATAAGAAATCGACGTTTTTTTATAGGATAGGGTGACAAACGAGCACACAGTCCACCTGATGGTAAGTGGCTGCTATGGCCCACATACATCTATATCTATCCTCTATTACGAATCAAAATGCAGATGCGTTGTCACCTGTGAGGACTAAGATGAAATGTCTCGTTTCCAGTAAAAAGGGACTCTGGTTCTCTACACTCACTATACGAAACACAGCTGCATGAAGCTACTACTTTACGCTGATATTCTGTGAGAGCGTGGTCCTTCCCCGGTCGAGCCGACCCGTTCGTGCTACAACTGTACTTCTAATATAACTGCATGGCTCTACCACGTTTAAACGACGTGCTTCATTTTATTTTTATTTTGAAATTGTTCTCGTAATAATCTAATTGTAAATTGTCAATGTAATTAAATCGTGCTAATTAAAGTAGTAGGAATGTTTAAAGTTGTAATTGGCACTAAAAGGCTGGTAATAGGGGCATCCACCTTACAAAGTGTGAATATAAAATTTAAATCAAGTGCGTGTAATCACTCTGGGAGCTTGTAGCAAACTAAACGCGCGCCCAACGGGTGGATAAAGTTGGGCGTTATAACATATAACAGATAATACTATATACAACATATAATCTATACACAGTCTTTTTCTGTACACACAAAAAAAAAGACCTATACCAACCGATATCTAAATGGTGAATCTCACCATCCTCCTTCACAGTTAGCTACCGTGGGTAAATCTTTGTTTCAGAGAGCACGAGGGATCTGTGACAGAAAACATCTGGCCGCCGAGCTTCAGCATGTCAAGCAGGTATTGCAAGACAACAAGCTTCGGGTCCCGCGCCTACGTCACAGTGAACGAGTGAAGCCGGCCACAGTTGAGCGCGCGCCTGCTGTGCTACCGTATGTTAGAGGAGTCACGGACAAGATTGGCTACATCTTGAAGCGAGCGTCCATTAAAACATACTACAAGCCGCCGAAGAAGATTAGTCAATTTTTACCATCCATCAAAAGCAATATTCCTCTACAAGATGCTGGTGTGTACAAGCTAGATTGTAAATGTGGTCTCTCTTACATAGATCAAACAAAAATATCTATTAAAACCCGCGTGAAGGAACATATAGTTGACGTGAAGCACCAACGCTCCGGGAAGTCTGCAGTCTGCGAACATGTTCAAGATCGTCCCCACTTTACATTAGATTTGATAAACCATAAATCCTCGCAAAAGAACACCGATTCCTACCAAGGATGATACGCGAGGCTATTGAAATTAAAAAACATCCAAATTTCAAAAGAGAGGATGTATGGGTGCTGCCAGGTGCTTGGGATCCTATAATTTACAAAATTAAACCCAAACCTAAGCATACCACTGCAAGACATCATGATACTATAAGCTCATTTTGCATAAATCGGACCAAAAATTAATATTCAAAAACTGAAGGTAGCCGGACTAACTGTGACATTGGAACGTCAAACATCATAAATTAAAGTTGAATTAAACACGATAAAATCCGTAAATAATAGTTTTATTCAATGTGTAGTGTTCGCGTAAATTTAAGAAATCATTAAGCGTCATCTGTTTACGTTTATGGTCCAGCCGTCGGCCGAGACGCGGCACCTCAATGGTAGTCAATAAAATACTGCATTCATTATGTCACAAGGATTGCGTATAGCTTACACTAATTTAAACTCTAAGCTAACTTAATAAGAGCTTATTTTACTAACACCAAATTATAACGGTAAACAAAAATATATTATTTCCTTCATTGCTAGCTGTTTCCTGTTGTGCCTGTTATTTAATTTTTTGGCTGTTGTAATATATTAGTGTTCAGTTAGCTGTCTAGCTGAGATGACAATGACACTGCTATCTGTTAAATTATATACATAATGTTTTGATAGCAGGTCCCCATATTACGTGAAAAAGCTATTGTTGTTTTTGTTTATTTTTCGTTAAGTTTTATTCCTAAAGTAATTTTAAATATTTTGTGTAATATAGATAGGATTTAGCGTGTTGTATGTAAAAGTGTATAATAATGTCGCGTCAGCGTAGCGCAGCCATTTGGAACTATTTTATAGTCCAAAGTGTGGACGCAAAAAAGCAGTGTGCAATTATTGCAAAAAAACTTTATCTTTCAAAAGTTACAAATTTAAAGCTTCACCTTAAGCAGACACGTAGGAGTGTATAAATAGTTTTGCCGTTCGGATTAAATATCGGATAGACGCACAAGGCTTACGTCGTCCAAAGTAAACCAAATAATGTTTTTGAATAGTAACTGAAAAAATGTAAATAATTGTATATAACTAAAACTTTGACCACAGTGTAAATAATGTAAAAATTCAATCAAAATGTACATAACATCAATGAGCTTCCAACTACGCCTAAATGAGTTATTTTTCTTAAAATGTTTGAAAATATGAGTAAATAATTATAACAGATACAATAATTACACAGCTTAACATACATTCAGACAATCCTAAGCTTGTAAAAAGTAGGAAGGGAAGTTCATTGAACGTTAAGTTCAATGAACTTCCCTTACATATTTTAAATGATTCTTTTTTTAAAACATGAACACTCAAATGATGCTAATACAACTTAAAAAAAAATTTGTCTTCATATAATACTTATAATCGTTTATTATTTATAATATTTATAATCGTAATAATCCTCTTCCTCCTGGACCGCCGCAAGGTGTACTCGTTTGTAAAACTTAAGTCAATTACATTTTCAAATTTAAATAATCAAATCAGTGTTGATATTTCGAGAAAAAAAAAATAGGAGTGCAGAAAGCGGTGGTGGTGAGCAAAACTGTGAGTCAAACCTTATCTTCTGATTGCCTGGTACGCATCCCCCTTCTGCGGACATACTTTATGTCGTCATCGACCTACTTGCGTATGCGCTTAGCCAATTTGCATACGCACTTTTTGGTCATTTTGGCGTTTTAGTCCAACCCACTCAAACGTGACTCCACCCCTTGCTTGCCATAGGAATTGCTGCCGCACTGTTTTTTTTTGCACCATTTTGCGACTACGTATTGAAGAGTATAATTAACTCCTATTCACTTATAGTCTCCTAATCGTGAGCAAATGGATACCATGAATAAATCGTTGTCAGATACAGAAGTGGAAATTGCACATCAAACAACCCCACCAAACTTTTTAACTGCCCGGAAAAAGAGAAGAAGAGATGAAGATTACACTTCGGAATTGGCTAATTTAAAAGAAGAAATGAAAAACATGTTCTTATCGCTTATAAATTCTCAAAATCTGGAATTTCAAAAAAATGCAAGCATTCTCAAAGAAATCCAAAAAACTAACCAAAATATCGAAAATTCTACTACTTTTTTGACAGAACAAAATAAGGAATATCAAGAAAGGATCTCTAAGCTAGAAGGACAAATTAAGGAGGACAGGAACTATATAGCTGCTTTGGAAGAAGAAATAGAGGACATGCAAAAAGATAGACGTAAAATAAATTTGGAAATCAAGAACGTCCCAAGAAAGAACGACGAGAGTAAAACAAATCTTATTGAAATGGTTTTAAGTCTATCTAACACTATCGGCTGCCAAATGGTAAGTTCAGATATTAAGGATGTGTATAGAGTCCATGGAAAAAGAGAAGATATTAAGAACACTCCTATCATTGTGGAGACATCATTTACAATACAAATAAATGATTTTTTGAAAAAATGTAAGGAGTTCAACAAAAAAAAAATAACAAATCAAAACTCAGTGCTCATCATTTAGGACTTAAGTCTTCAGGTGTAGAAAATAATCCTATCTTTGTATCAGAGCAGTTAACAGCTAAGGCTGCCCGACTCTATTTTCTTGCACGCGACCTTAGCAAGACACATTCGTATAAATTTTGTTGGACATCTTACGGGAAGGTTTATTTGAGGGAAGACGGTAACTCCAAAATAATACTAATTAAAAATGAATCGCAAATCCAGCAGCTGAAGATAGACACCTGACTAAAAGCCGTTCTACAATATACATGCAATCTCTTCGTTTATATTAGAGTAAGCTCTATCGTGTTTTCGTATATTTATTTTTTGTTTTTAATTGTTCACCACACAAATGTAAAAAAGCAATCACTCAGACACACTTTCACACATTCATCTTCCAGTAATATAACACAGTCATATCTTAACAAACAGTTCGAGATTACTCAGACTACTGTAACTATTTCTACTTCTCTTAGGTTCTTCTGTCACCCTACCCACCTGCACATTATGTTGCTATTATACATATATAAAACTTTTATTTTTGTTAGCGACGACAAAGTGAATTCGAACATTTAATCTTAATTATTTCTTATCAGTGATTTAAAACTAAGTGATAGTATTTAATCT